CAACAATGCCCTTCAGCTGCACACGGAGATGGAGATTCCTTGCTCAGTTGGGATATTACATGAAAGGGATAGGTTATCTGGTGAATGTGCAAACAAATGTGAGTGAGTATATAGGCAACAGTTTGCAAATTTATGACCCTCTTCAAAGAAACCTATTTTAGCCTCACTCAAAGTAAACCTGAAGATTGTTGTGCTTCCTCGTTTTTTATCCATTGACCTGTGACATTTCCATCCGCGTAACCTCACCTGAACTACATTAGATACTGATGAAATAATCTTGTTAGAATGTGAATTTCTTGCTTGAAAATTAATTGTATGGGAGTAAACATTGCTAGCTTTTCTCAATATATTATCCCAATCTTAAAATTACATCCTGGAAGTTGAAAATATATCCTTCATTAAAGAATGTGTTAGCCTTTGTCCAGTTTAGAACATTCTGGTCAATGAAGTATTTGTCCACTATCTTGGACATAGCAAATTGTATTTGAGGAAGATTCAAAGTGATATGGTTTAAATTCTCTTAAATTTTACCGCTGCAAACCTAAAAAGAAGATGAATTGAATTAGTTATATAGAAACCAATTTCAGAAATACATTCACAATGTAGTACTCTTTTGTAACATGATACACTACGTTATTGTTAATATAATGCTTTTCTAAAGCAAAAAGAACAGCCGTGCAGGTAACTGGATGCTACTTAGCCTGTCTTTGCTTGACAAAACACCGATTTTACTCAGCACAAAACTATGTAGGGAGAAATTTTCCAATATATGTGACTCGTTAACCGGAGTGCTCCGACATAGCTTGAGGAAGTTCTGAAAAGCTGAAGATATGAGATATTTCAACTCGTTTCTGAAAAGTATGATCCTGTCATTGACTTACCGCAAAACCGGAGTTGCTTTCTCGAGAAGGCGGAAGATTTCGGAGAAGGGGCGTGGCGTTGAAAAGGTCTCTGTCTTCCGTTTTGTGCACCACGTCGCGCCTCCTCCTCGCCTCAGAGCACAGCAGAGCAGCAGCAGCACGTGACCCGTTTCGTTCTCTGCAGTGTTGGCTGTCTTCTTCAGCGCCAAACTGAAGCATGAGGACTGTTTTATTTTTTAAAGTTAGCCAGCGTGAAGCAAGTGTTTTTTTCGTCCTCTGAGCGTTGTAGCACGTGATGTAACTCCGAGGAAAGTACAGTAGATCTATTACATTTCAAAGTACTTCCGTATTTCTAATCTGTGTAGCGCACGTTTAATGTTCGAGGAGCTTCACTCGGCACTGAGAAGAAACAGAACTGGCTCCAATAAGAAACAGGTTGGTTGGAAAGGCTGAAAAAAATAATTATTGTGCTAGCTTCCATACAAAATGTAATAAGTGGGTGTGTTGGGTGATCGGCTTAAACTAGGGATGGAAATATTCCACGGATCCACGATTTACAACCTTTTCTGTGATAAGGGTAATTTCTGTGAAAGTGTTGTTGACAGCGGCACTTGCTGTTATTTGCTCTAAGCACATTCAAGCGTGCACTGAATGTTGCACGTCCTGGTGCAGCTGCTGCCGCTTTGTAATGACGCCGCGGCGCTCAGTGGAAAGCACGGCTCTAACATGTACGGCTCGGACCATATGAGGCAGAAACATGATGCAAGTGCGGGTCTCCCTCGTATCTCCGTTTCTCCCCTGTGTCTCTGACATGTCTCTTCCTGGACTTTCCCAAAGCGAACCAGCGCTCCCGAAATTAAATGCTCGGATACTAAATTTTCCTTGCGTTAACGATGATGTGGTTGTGCGCAAAAACACACAACAGGTCATTTAAGTTTTTTATTTTGCATCCTTGAGAGCGCCTTGTGAGTCATAATTGCTTTTTGGGTTGAGAGTGGATAAAAAAAAGACAAATATTAGAAATTCCACACTGTTACTTCTGGCAAACTCTTGTTAACTCATTGTATTGAGAAATACTATGTAAACTTTGGACATTGGCCAAGTTATATAATTGATTTGCATTCATGTATATGAATGTCGTTTTGAATTGTCTATACATTCTTATATAATTTAGAAAATAATGCCACGCCACAAAAAAAGATATAAGATATCAGGAGTGTAACGTTGGAAAGTAAGTAAGGAAAGCACAAGTAATAGCAAATTATGAATTGTGATGGATTAATTTATGTTAAATAATGGTAATAAACAAAAGAGAGAACAATATAGGGAAGGTTGAGTAGAAGCAACAGGCATTCAGTGCTTCAGGTGATAGGGTTGGAATTTTGTTGGTATGCATGGGGATGATGATTGTTTTTTAGAGAGATTGATCGTAAATGGCAAAACAATGTAGTGAGCTACTCTGTAAGATTCTAATTCAAAAATTTTCTCCTCTATTTTTTTCTTTATTATAGGAAATTGAAAGATCGTGCATGGATTGATTTCAAGTATCGGAGAGGCGTTCTGAACTGTTAGAGCCAGGTGGGGCTATTTTGTAGATTTGGATTAGGTTTTAAGTCAGTATAGAATGAACGCAACAAAAATTCAGTAGATTGATCCAATTGATTTTTGTTTTTAAACTATTAGAAAAAATCCTTAATGCGTCTCATTCAGTCTACAGTGAGGTTAGTACAGTAGGGAACCACACTATTGCAAATATAGTGTTGTGATTTAAACAAAAATTCTGGGGCGGGGAGATAAACTCTGGACCCGTGTGTCAATGGGTGAGACTCAAGGTGTAGTGAATGTCCCCAAAGATTGGAACCAAACCTACACCATTGCGATCAGGTATAAGGATGCGTGCAATACCTGTTTTGCTAGTGAGCCCACATGTGGCGCCGAGAAACTAAAAAAGTTTGGTTATGATTCAAATCATTAATGACACAAAACAAAGACTAAAACGAGGATTTATATTCGGGATGCTGTTGTACAATTGAGACAGTGGATAAAAGTTCAGTGTGGATGAGATTTTCTACTTTGAATCGTTCTTCACATTGTCTCTATTGTGTGAATCGGTTTGGCCTTTGGTTCTAACCAGGGGTGCTCACTTTGTCAGCATGCGAGCTACTTATAAAAGGATCAAGTCAAAATGATTCTCTCCTACTACAATAATGAAACATATTTTTATTGCAAAAATTTCTTTATACCTACAATATCTGTTTATGTACAATTCAAAACCGCATGAGCCAATATAGCACAACAAAACACAATTTATCTATGTACATTTTTTGTCATTACCCGGTTAGTTTACTCTTATGATTGCCACTGAAATTGTATCGGCAGGGATGCATAGTCGGAAATGGTGGTAACTCGCTGGGGCAAGTTTGTCTTGGTTTAGCTTTCTGCACTGAGCGCTGGTTGTTTTGCGCATGTGCAGGTCACTATGTGTCGAGTAAAAATTAAGATTTAAAACACAGATGTCATTAGCTGTGGTGCCATGTCCATGTGCCATGCTTGGTTTATTTCAATCCAAAATATTTCCCCTCTCCGTTTATAAAATAAATTTGCAGCACACATTGCGTTTATCAAGCACATTCAAACATGTGCGTGGTCTTACGTTCTGTCCGGCGTTGGGGAAAAAAACAGAAGTAGGGCGGAGTTCTGTGGCAGACGCCGTAACGGCACTTTTACTGTCCGAGAGACATCAGAGTAAAGACGGTATGTTTACATGCACTGGACCCCGTCCTCAGCACTGGTAGTTGTCCTGGTTTGTCTGGTTAGTCCTGGTTTAGTCCTGGTTTAGTCCCGGTTTAGTTGTTTTCAAGGTGAGTCCGCGATCACTTTGTGCTCTCTGATGTGGCGGCGGTGCGCGCTCCGAGCATCTCACAGTGAACAGTTTTTAAGGTTGTTTGATCCATGCCTTCAGTGATCAGAGGAATTTGGGGGGTCTTGTGGCGTGCGAGAACGGGGCAAAACTCGATTATTCTGGTATACACACAAATGCATTAACGGAGTTTTCAAAATTTAGAATGTGTAATTTTTTCATTTATTATTGGATTACCAATACTACCTTTGCGTGAGTCGACTGGTAGATGCGATCGACTTATTGAGCACCCCTGGTATAAAAACTGTGTGCTTACAATGTAGGAACCGGGGTTCGATCCCGCAGAGTTATGTCTTGTGGTATTTATTGCATGTTATCAAGTCTATGAACAGATTGCTCTAAAAACGGTAAAGATGAATGGTATGACGTTTTTGTGCAGAATTATAGATTAATTGTAAAATAATCATTTTAGACATGTACCCCAATTAAAATAATGTTAGTCTCTTTTTGATGTGGAACTTTTATCATGTTGGTCTAAAAAATAGGGAATAAAATAAAATGGTAAGGTTATATCCTCTTGAGCAAACCCTCATGATGTAGATACGTGAGAAATACGTTCCAACATCATTCTTCCCACTCCTATTTTGGACATCAATTTTTATATATTTTGCATAAATTATGTCTAATTACATTGCTTTTATTTTAGCGTCGCCAAAGCTATTTTCTCACGGAATCTCTGTTGTTCAGTATTACAGCATTTTCCCGCAGCATAAAACAAAACATTATAGATAGGACAGAGAGCAGGGATCGGTAACGACACACACACGAGCGTAAGCGCCACACACACACGCACACATGCGCGCGCTTATGGGGGAAGCAACCAATGACTGTTTTCAGCTGCTATCTTTGTTGTTTTTGGTGTTTTGTGCTATTGTTCAATACATATCTAAAATAATTTAACCTTTATTGACTGATCAAATAAGAAGATAAGCTTTATTAATCACAAGGCGACATATAAATGTCACATTTGGATGGATAAAACACTCCAAGAATTGTGAAAAAATAAAGAAATGAGAAAACATGTTAATGCAGGAATATATAAATTGCATGAACTGCGTTTGTTTAATTTGAAAATAGCTTCTATATTGAGAATGAGGAGTTGACGTCACGGCACCCTTTTGTATGGTGGGTAGGCGGGGCGGTACGGGGCGGGGGGGGCAGGGGGAGGCCGGAGGTGGGGGGTGGAGTAGTACGAAGGGCGGGGGCACGGCCGGGCTAGGATGAGAACGTGGTGGGGGGGGGGGTCATGGCGCAGACGCTTGGCAGGGCGTAGGGGGGGGAGCGGGCGGCGGGAGGGGGGGGGAGAATCCGTCCCGTGGGTGGTGGGGCGACAGAGGGATGGGGGGGGTGGGGGGGGTGGGCCAAGGGACGCTCGGCGTGTGATCGGGCTAGGGGGGGCTTTTAATCATAAGGAATGGGCACGCTGAGGGGGGGGGGGGTGAGGAGTATAACCCGGGCAGGCGGTGGGGGGGGGGCGAGGGCGCCGTTTGGTTAGCTTCGGGTGGATCGGGATGGGTCGAGGTAGGAGAGAGCTGTGCAGGGGGGGGACCGGAAGGGGCTCCAGAGGCGGTCGTGGTGGGCGGGTGCGTGGGGGGTACGGGGTTTACGGCAGGAAAAGGCACAGGGGGCACGCCCGGGCGAGGGTGGGGGGGCCACGGGTGGGCTCGAAGACATCGGGCCAGGGAATGACCTAATCTGGGGGGAAAGCGGGGGGGGGGGTGGGGCGAGGGGATCGGATCCGGGACTAGAGGGGGGAGGCAACGCGGGATTATCGTGGCATGGTTGCCTGGGGGGTGGGGTTGGGGGGGATTAATAAGTCAGGAGGGTTGAGGGGGGGCGGTTGAGGGGCGGCGCCATAGGGATTTAGTTCTAGCCGGTGCGGGGGCTCAGAGGGGGGGCTGAGGGGTGGCGCGTGGGAGGCACCTATGGGGGGGGGGGGGGCCGGGGGGGGTCCGGAGGCCGGGGGCGTCGGGGTGGGGGGGTGAGTGTTCGGGTTCGCGGGCAGGGAGGGGTGGAGTGTACCAGGTCGGGGCGGATCATTTGGGGGAGAGGGCCACTGCGCGGTGAATGGCACGGAGGAGACGGCCAGGGGGGCAACGGAGCCGAGGGCCGGCCCATTGGGGCGGGGCACTAGAGGGGAGACTGTGTATCGGGGGGTTGTGCATCGCAGGGTCGCGGGGGGGCGGTGGGGGGCCCTTTCGGGACGGGTTAGGGGGTTGGGGTAGGGGGGCCTGGTTCGGGGGTCGGCTTACTCACGTGGGGGCGTGGACGGGGGAATAGGGTGCGGGTTGACGACCGACGTGCGGGTGAGGGGGGGGGAGGCGTGGGGGGGGGGGGGTAGCGGGGTGGGGGGGGGGACGGGGGTAGAACTGTGGCGGGGGGAGGGGGTCGATGCGGGTAGGGTGGCTTTCGGCGGGACCGGAGGGGGGGGTAGGGGGGGGGTGGGCGGGGGGACGACGGTCGGGGGGTGTGGGGTCGGGTTGGTAGGGGGGGTGCTAGCGGGGAGATGCTGACAGGACGGGAGCGACGGGGTTCAGGGGGGGCGGAGGGGCCCGCCGGGAGTGGGCAAGAGGGGCGGAGGTGGAGGGTCGGTGCAGGCTGGACACAGTGTGCTGTCGGGAGAAATCACACGAGGGAGGGGCCATTTTAACGGGGAAAGGGGTTGCGGGCTGGCAGAGGGGAAGGGGGCGGGTCAGGGGTGTGGAGGAGGCGGGGGGGTGGGGATGGGGGCAAAGGCTGGTACGGGAACGAGGGAGGGAAGAAGCAGCACTATCGTGGTACGGGGGCAGGGGACCCCAAATACGGCTTCGGACGTGTGGTTATGGGCGAGGAGTTGGGAGGGTGTGGGTGGGGGAGGGGGGGGGGGGGAGCATGTAAGTCAGGGTTAAAGCGGGTGCAGGCCCAGGTAAAGGTCTTGGTGGGGTGGGGTGGCGGGGACTAGTTGTGACAGGGAGGTTGGGGGGAGGGGGCAGGTGGGTACTTGGGGACTTGAGGGGAGGGGGGGGGGGGTGAGGGTGTGCTAAGCGTTGGGATGGCAGGGGGCCGGGACGCCGGGGGGATGGGGGCGGGTCGGAGGCGGAGGTTGGTGATTTAGAGGGGAGGAGCCGGGAGGGGCCGAACCACTCGGGAAAGGGCACGGGGTGGCGGGGCGGCGCCCGGCCGGGGGGCACAGGCTGTTGGGGGCGAGTGGCCGGGGGGGGGGGACCGGGGGGGTACGGCGGTGGGTTGGGGGGGAGGGTAGCGGGTGGGTAAATGAATCGAGGGGCGAGGGGGATTGGGGCAGGGTGGGGGGGTTCTAACAAGAACACAAGGGGGGGGGGGGGCACGGGAAAGGGGGAATGGCAGGGGGATGGGATGGTAGGGGGGGGAGGTGGAGGGTCGGGGATGTGGGGGGCGAAAGTCATGGGGTAATGGGAAAGGGGGTCTAACCTAAAAGGGGGAGGGGGACCGAGGGGGAGGGATAGTTTACGGGGGGGCGGGAGGAGGAATAGGGGGGGGGGGGGGGGAGGTGGGGAGGTGGTCCAGTACCGCCTACGGCGGGGGAGGGGTGTAGGGTATGAATCGTGGTTGGAGAAACCGGGACGGGACCTAAAAGATGGGGGGTGGGGCATGCCTGGGGGGGGGCGGAGATTTACTCCCAAGGATTGCAGATGGCACGCAGGGGGGTGGCGTCCATGAGGTGGGAGGCCAAAGACACGGGGGATCGGTGGGGGGGTGTGGGAGCTTCATCGGTGGGTGTCTATTGGAGGGAGGGGGCGAGGTATGGCGGGGCTCCGGGGGGGTGAGCGGGGGGTGCAGGCCGGGGATCAGGGCAAGCGGCGGGGCTGGCGCATTCAGGGGTGACCGACGGTAGGGGGCGGGGAGGGGGGGAGGGGAGGGACGGAGGGAGTGGGAGCCATCAGCGGGGGTGGGGAGGGCGCAGGGCCAGGGCGCAACGGGAGGGGGGGGGGCACTGAGGGGATACGTGGGGGGGTGGTGGGCCCGGGGCAGGTACGCTGGAGGGACGTACGGGGAGAGAACAGTCGGGTGGCGGCTGCGTTGTGAGTCCTTGGGAGGGGGGCCGGGGGGGGGCGGGGGACGGGCCTCATCCGGGCCGGCGGACGACAGCCCGGTGCGGGGACTGGGGAGGGCGAAGGGGCGGGCGCGCAGATAGGGGGGGGGGGGGAGCATCGGTACGGGGGGGGTGTGTCTCGGGGCCTGGGCGTGGGAGCCCAGGGGGGCCATTTGGGGGGAAGGGACAGGGGCACGGGGTGGGGAGGGGAGTTGCGCCAGGCCAAGGTGGGGGTGAGAGACTGGCAGCTGGGGGAACACGACAGGGCGGGGGGGGGCTCCGGGGGGGGTGGCGAGGTCCCGGGGGGCGGCGGGGCGGGCCTTCATGCGATGGGCGGGTGGGGAGGGCCAAATCGGGTCTGGGCGGGAGGGGGATGGGAGGGGGCGGGTACTTGGGTATGTGGGACGAGGGAATGAGGGGGGTGGCGGGGCTGTGGCGGGGGGTTGGGGGGGGGGGCATACGGCTCAGTGCTAGGGGGGGCGGCGGGTGTGGAGCCCACCATAAAAGACCGGCCGATAGACGCGGGGGAGGAGGCGGGGGTCGTTCACGGTCGGGAGGGAAATGAGGGGCGCGGCGGCGAGTCGGACGGGGGGGGGGTGGCGAGGGGGGAATGGGCACGGGTAAGGAGGGGGGGGGTGAGCAGCGGGGGCTCAGTCGACTGGGCGTGGGGGGGGCGGGGAGGGGCGGGAGAGCTGGGGGCGGGGGGATCGGTGGGTAACGGTTACCGCTTGCTGGTCCTCACCGCCCAGGAGGTGGGGGGTAGGGGAGGGCGGGCACCGGGGCGGCAGGGGGGCGGGATGGAGGGGGGGGGAGGAGGGTGTAATGGGGGTGAGGAGTTGGGGGGGTAAGCACGGGGGGGCGGGGTCGGGGCAGGGGGAAGGCTGGGGAGGGGGAAGTAGGATGTGTGAGTGCGGCTAGGGGTATGCATGGGACTCGTTAGGAGTCGGTGGGGGGCGGACGCCGGATCAGGGGGGGGGACCGGGGTGGGTCAGGGTGCAAGGGAGTGGGTAGGTGGTACTGCAGAGAGGGGAAGGGGCCAGGGGGGGAGAGGGACGGGGGGCGGGAAGAGGCAGGGGGAGGGGGCGGAACCCTGGGGGGGGGAGCGGCCGGTAGGGGTATAAGGGTAGGAGGTTTGTTGGAGAGGTGGGTGTGGGTGTTGGGCGGGCACCGAGGGGCGAGACGGGACAGCATGGCCCGAAGGTGGGGGGGAGGGAGGAGCTCGGCAGGCGTGGCCGCGCGGACATGGAAGTGAGGTGGAAACGTGACCATGCCATTATACAATATGTAGAGAGTGGGGGGACGCGTCAACGAGGGGAGGTACAGGCACCTGGCGGCGGGGTGTAAACCGGAGCCGGTGTGGGAGGGCAGGGGGAAGGGGGAGACGGGGGCGCCGTGAGGAGTGCTTTCAAGGCGGGGAGGGTGGGGGGGGGTTGGGGGGGCGCAGGGAGGGAAGGGGGGGAAGCCCAGGGGGAGGTGGCCGGAGGGGGGGGGGCCGGGGGCGGTGTGGCTCTGTGAGTGGAGTGGGGGGAGGTGGGCGAGGGCGGGTATGAACGGTTTTACGGGTCGGGAAGTGGGGGCTAGGGTTGGTGGCGGGCGGAACGGGGGTGCCGTGGGCTTTGGGGATGGCGTCACGGGGGGGCAAGGGGGGGGGGGGGCAGGCATAGAGGTGGGCGACGAGGTCGGGGGCGAGGCGGGGGGGGTGGGGAGGTGGGGCGATTGGCGGGGTCCGGTTGATGTTGGGTGGGCGAAATGGATACTGGAAGCTGGGCATGGAGGGAGGGGAGGGTCGGGGTAGGATGGGCCTGGGCTGGGAGTGGGTCGAGACGGAGTTTAGAGAAGGACCATAAGGGAGGTGACGGGGGCGTCGGAGGCCTTATGGGGCGGGTGGTGTGGTCTGTGTAGTAAGGTATTTGGCAGTGGTGTGTGCCTTGGAAAGGAATCTGCACGGGTTCGGGGAACTCTCGCGGTCGGCGGACGCGACCGCTCACTCGGCAGCAGTAAGTCGGGGGGCGGGGCTAGCGGCCGGGCCGGGAGGTTGGGCGAGCCCAGATCCAGTTGGAAGCGGGAATACGGGACCGGGGGCGGGGTGATGGGGGGCGAGCGGGGCAGGGGGGGGAGGAGGCGATGTGGTGGGTAGGGGAGGGGCCTATGAATCTTGGGGGGGGGGGGGAGGGGGGAGGGTTGGGGCGGGAAGGGGGAGGGGGGAGGAACGTGGGGGGGAGGGACCGGGGAACCAGCTGGTTGTAGGGGGTTGAGGTGGGAGGGTGGGCGGGGAGGGGGCCCGCTGGTGGAGTCTGGCGGGGGGGGGCGGTGCCGAGGTCGCGCGGGGGGCTCCGGGGATGGGCAGGGAGGGGGTGATAGAGGGCGGGAATGGGCTGGGGTTGGGAGAGGTTGATGGAGTGAGGGGGTGCTGTGGAGGGTGGGTGGGTAAAAATTGGAGGTGGCGGGGGGCCGCCGCTAGGGTGGGAAAAAGGGGTAAGGGGGAGGGAGGATGGTGGTTAGTGGGGTCGCGGCGTGGAGTTAGGTGGGAGTTGGTGGGTTTGTGGTTGGTCGGTCTGGTTGTTGATGGGGTGCAGGGAAGAGGTCGAACACATGGGCACGGCAATGGAATGGTCTGGCGGGGGGGGTTTGCGGGCAGGATAGGGACGGACACACGGGTGGAGTGTTGGGGGCCAAGCGGCGGGCGGCGAGGCGCACTGGGAGGGGGCGATATGTAGGGGGAGGGGGGGGGCTAAGGGGGTTGGGTAAGGGGTGGGCGGGATGGGGGGCCAGGGGAGTAGGGGGGGGAGTAGGTGGGAAGGGTGAGCGTAGTGTGGGGGTGTGGAGAGGCGGGGGGGGGGTAGCGAGGAGAGGGGCGGATAGGCCGGGGACAGGAGGGTGGGGCGCTGGGGGAATTCCCCAGGATAGGGTGGATGGGACGGGTGGAGGGGGGGGGTGGGTCTGGTCAGGTGGGGGGCGGGGGTGGGGGTAGTGGTTTACGGAGGGGTTAGGACAGGGGTCGGGGGGCAGTAGGGGGCTAGGGCAGGGGGCGGGGAGGGGGGGGGGGGGTGGGACAAGCAGGGGGGAGTATTGGGGGGGGTGTGGTGACGTTTTGGGGGAGTTGGTGGGGGGCTGGGGATAAGACAAGGGGGGTCTGGGGGTGGGGCGGGTGGAGGGCGCGGGTTAGGAGGACGGGGAGGTTGAAAAGTGGTGAGAGAGGTCTTTTAGGTGGGCGGGGGGGGGGAATGGGGGTCCCGTAGAGGGGAGGTGTGGGGACAGTCGGGCGAAAGCGGGGGGTATGGCGGGTGGGGGGGGAGGGGGGAGGGGGCAAGGGGCGGGGGGGGGAAGTTAGGGATGGGGGGGGGGACGCGGTTGGGCCGAAGCGGGGTGGGTGCGCCGGGGCTGTGTGAGTTGGGGATCGAGGACGTGGGATGGCCACGGGAGGAGCGTGCGGGGGGGGAAGGAGCGTCGGAGGGTTTTCTTGGGGAGGAGTGGGAGGGATGCCGGAAGGGGTGGGGGGGGGGTGAGGGGGTGGGGGGGGGAGGTCGGGGGGCGTGGGCACGGGGGGGGGCTTGTGGGGTGGGCGTTTTTCCATTATCTTTTCGTTTTTTTGTTTTTTTTTTTTTGTTGGTTATTGTGCCGTCTACCTTGCCATTGCTTGGGGGGGTGTGAGGGGGGTTGTGTGAGTCTAGGGGGTGAGGATTTGTGGAGGTGCTTCCCTCGTTGGGGCTGGGGGGGATGGGGCTGGTGTGGGCACGGGGGGCAGGGCGCCAGGGGTCCGTGGGGGGGGGAGGCCCAACGCCAGGTCAGCGGGGGCGGGGGGACGGGGAGGGGGTCCTAAGGGGGGGGGGGGGGGGGTAGTGGGGGGTGGCGGGGGTGGAGTCGATGGGGGGTGGGGGGGCAAGGCGCGGGGGGGGTAGGTGGCTGGGACGGGGTGTCCCGGGGAGCGGCTTCAGGGGGCTAAGACCAGGTGGAGGAGGCCTTGGGTCGTCAAATGGGTGTGAGGGGGGGAGGGATGCTCGGTCCTGCGAAGGGTAGGGTTGGGTGTCGGGCGGGGGGTAAACAAAGTAAGCGGCGGGGCACGTTGGTAAGGGGACCCGGGGGAGAGGGGAAGGAGGGGACGGGCTGGGACGGGTCGAGGTCGGCGCAGAGGCGGGGGACATGGTGGGTTTGTGGGTGGGGCTACAGCCGGGGGTGGGGGGTGGGGACACGGAGTGAGGGGGGGGGGGGTGTGAGGGGGCCCACTTTTTCGGGGGGAGGGCGACATGGAATATGCTATGGGGGGGAGTTGATGCGTTGGGGGGGGGGCAAGGGTTGGAACGAACGGAAGGGTCGACAGGGGGGTGGAAGGGTGCGGGGGTGAATGGTGAGGAGGGGGTCAGGTGGATCGGATTCAGGGCTGGGGATTAGGGTAGAGAGGTCAGCCGACAGGAGAGGACCGAGGGGGCGATGGGGGGGAGGGGGAAACGGGGAGGACAGAGGCGTGAGGTAGGGGGGGGCCCAAGGGGGGGGGGCCGGGGGGAAGGGAGATGGAAAGTGGGTGGGCAAAGGGAGGCGGGGGAGACTGGAGGGAGTAGGGGGGGGGGTGTCCGGCTTGGGCTGGGGGGCTAAATCTTAGTGGGGCGGGGGCGGGGAAATTGGGGAGGGGGTGGTCGGGGGTTGGGTGGGGGCGCGTAAAATTGGCGAGGGATTGTTGCGCGCAAACGGGGTGGTGGGGGTGGGTGGGGACCGGGGTGATTTGTATATTGGAAGGGGGGGGGATATAGTACTAGATTCGGTTTGGGGGTGGGCGGCGGGCCGAGTGGGGCACGGGAGCCTAGGGGGGAAGGCGAGGACGACGGGGAGGTGGGTGGGCGGGTTTCGGGTGCGGTGGTTGACTGATGGGAGGCTGGGGAGGGGCCAGGGGACGTAAGGGGGATGGGCAGGTGGGGGAACTCCGGCACGCCGCGGTAGGGGAGCGAGACGGGTGTGTAAGGGGGCGGGCTGGTGTACGGAGCAATGGGAGGGAAGGGAAGAAAGGTGGGGGCCCCGGGTCGGGCAGCGTAAGCGGGACTAAGGGGGGGGAGGTATAGGGTGTTTAAGGTCGGCGGCACGGGGTCGCGGGGGCGCGGTTGAGAGGGAGGGGTGGGGAGGGTGAGGGATGCTGGGTGGGCATGGGGAGGCGTAGCTCGGAGGACGGGGCTGGTGGCGGGGGGAGAGTATGGTGGTAAGGAGTGGGGGTAGTGGGGGTGGCGTACGGACGGGGGCCTCCGAAGGGGGATTAGGGGGAGGGGGAGACTTCGGGGGACAGGGGGAGGAACGGAGGGGGGGGTAGGGGTGAGGGACGGAGGGGGGCAGGTCATGGGGGTCAGGAGGGGGGGGGTGGGCAAGGGGGTGTGGGTAGTGGGTCGCTGGCCGCCTGGGGGGGTAGGGGACTAAGGGGGTGAACAGGTGAGGTGTAGGTGTCTGCATGGGCGGGGTGGCGGGGGTGATGGGGGGGGGGGCAGAATATGGGGGAGGGGGGGGTGGGGAGGGGGGGGGGGGGAAAGGGGCAAGGTTGGCTCATCTGCAGTTGTCTTTGAGTCGTTTGCTAGGGGGGGGTCCCGGTAGGGGTGGGGGGAGCCTTTGAGGGGGGGAGGGGGCAGACGGGAGGGGGTAGGTGGTGGTGGGGAGTATGGGCGGGTCCACAAGGGGGGGAGGTGGAACAGGGGAGGGATTCGGGGTCAAAGGGGGTGGGGGCAAGTGGGGGGGGGTGGTAGGGAGAGGGGGAAGGGGGGTGTGGGGGGGCGAGGGAAGGGGCCGGGGGGAGGGAGAGGGGGTAGGAGGGATATAAGGTGGGGCGGTGGGACCGGGGTAGGGGGGGGGGAGCTGGGAGGCGGGGAGGGGGAAGGGGCGATGGTGGGCCAAGGGGTCTAGGGTGGGGGGAGGTTGGGGATTGTGAGGGGGGTGTGGTTGGAGGGGGGTACGGTGGGGGGGGGGGGAGCGTGTGGGGGGTAGACGGGGTGGGAAAGGGCGGGGAACTGGGAAAGGGAGTGTGTTTGAATATCGGGCGTGTGGGGTGGGTAAGGTGGGAAGGGGGGGAGGTCTGGTTAGGGGGGGAGGTTGGGGGAGGGGGGTCGGGGGCGTAGGATGGTGGGGGAGGATGGGGGCTTGGGTCCTGGGTGGAGTGGGGGTGTGCGGGGCGGATAGACGGGATGGGAGGGGAGCGAATGGGAGGGGTGGGGAAGGGAAAGACAGGGTTGGGGGGGAGGCATGGCGGGGGGAACCGAGGGACAGTGGAGGGTGGGGGGACGGGGGGGGTTGCAACGGAGGGGGGGGGTGGCAGGGGGGGGGTAGGGGGGGGGGATAAGCGGGGGGCGGCAGTTTACGGGGGGCGAGGGAAGGGGGCGCGGTGGGTTCGGGTTGGGCGGTGTTGGGAGGTGTGGTTGTTCAGTGGGGGGGTCTGGGAGGGGAGGAGTGAACGGGGGGGTGGTCCAGAAGGGGTGGGGGGATAGGGAGGGGCAGGGGGGGGGGGGGGGGGGGTTAGGGGGGAGGGGGCGGCGCGGGCGGGAGGGGGGGGGGGTTGGTGGTGAATTGTGGGAGGGGGGGTGGGAAGGATATAAATCAGGTGAACATGAGGGTTGGGAAGGCACGGTGGGGGGGGGGGGCGGCGCGGGGCAGTGGGGCGGCGTAGGGGACAGGCGAGGTAGAGGGAAGGGCGGAAGTGCCGTGTGGGGGTGTGGGGGAGCTTTTGGGGTATTGCAACGGTTTGGCATACGTTGTATGCCTCACAGGGTATGGGTGTGTGTGGTGACAAGGGGGAGCGGGTGGGGTGGGGACGGGCGGTGGATCAAAGGCGTGGGAGGGCTGATAGGAGCTCGAGGGGTGGTGTTGGGGTCCGGGGAGCCTCAAGGGGCAGGCGGGGGGGATTCAAAACGGGGGCGAGGACAGAGGCGGAGGAGACAGACTGGGGTGAGGGGAGGAGGGGTGAAGGGGGGGGGGGGGGGATAGTGGGAGGGGGGAGCGGGAGTGGGTCCTGGGGGTGGGAGAGGGGAGGGGGGGGGGGGGTGGTGAGTGGAGTGGGTGCTGGTTGGTTAGGAGGGAAGGCAGGAGAGAGGTAGGGAACGGGGGTGGGGGAGGGGGTCTGTATGATTGGGTTCCGCGTGGATCCAGGTTAGGGGGGGGTACGACAGGAGGCCTGATCGGGGGAGTCGGACAGGAAAAGGAAGGGAACGCGGGGGGTGCACATAGGCTTTTGTTTTTTTTTTTTTTTTTTTTTTCTTTTTTTTTTTTTTTATTTTTTTTTCTTTTTTTTTTTTTTTTTTTTTTTTTTTTTATTTTTTTTTTTTTTATTTTTGTATTTTTTTTTTTATTTTTTTGTTTTTTTTTTTATTTTTATTTGGTGTTTTTTTTTAGTTTTTTTTTTATTTTTTATTTTTTTATTTTTTTTTTTTTTTGTATTTTTTTTTTTTTGTGTTACTATTTTTTCATGTTTTTTTTTTTTTTTTTTTTTATTTTTTTATTTTTGTTTTTTTTTTTTTTTTTTTTTTTTTTTTATGTTTTTTTGTGGTTTTTTTTTTTTTTGTTTTTTTTGGATTTTTTTTTTTTTGTTTTTTTATTTTTTTTCTTTTTTTGTTTTGTTTTTTTTTTGTGTTTTTTTTTGTTTTTTTTTATGGTTTTTTTTTTTTTTTTTTTTTTTTTTTTTTTATTTGTTTTTTATTTTTTGTTTGTTTTTTATTTTTTTCACCCCTTTTTTTGTTTTTTGTTTTTTTTTTTTTTTTTTTTTTATTTTTTTTGTTTTTTGTTTTTGTTTTTTTTTGTTTTGTTTTTAGGTTTTTTTTTTTTTTTTTTTTTTTTTTTTTTTGGTTTATTTTTTTTTTTTTTTTCATCCAGAATGTGGCAAAACATTAGTGGAATACCATGAATACCAAATCCCAGAATCTGACCCGGTACACCAAACTGTTATATTGGCTCAAACTGAAATCGGGTATGAATAACAGTGGTGAACGTGTTGTGAGGATGATAAAAGAAGTCGATGATATATAGCTCCCATGTTTGTTAGAATGCCTAAGGGACAAAGCAGCACAGAACGCAGCGTCGCTAAAGTTAGTGCCCAGTACTATGGAAATAAGTGCAAGAATCATGGGGTGAAATCTTGTGCACGAGAAATTTGAGTTTTGACGTTTGCAATAATCATCAGGTTCACTCGAACCACACAATAAGCGGTTAAACCATGCCCGTACCGTCTGATTATGTAAGTTGGTAACTCTTAACACACAAAAAACAGGCCCATCATTCCTGCTTTAACGCGGGGGTCCCTTGAGTGTTTACTAAAACAGACTGATTGGTGGTGGAGATTTGAATATTTAAATAACACAGGAAGAGATAGTCTGGATCGAAACGCTGGGGAAAACCCATACAATTCGATTGGACTCGCTGGAACAATTGTAGTGAAAAATCTAGGGCTGCGCTCATTTCTAGTTGAACAGTCCCATGCTGGTGATCATGCATTTGACGGAGGGGGGGGGACATTAGATACGTTTTTCAAAATCCCCCATCTCAGTGGAAGTGTCGTTTATACAATGCTGTGGACGGGAGCTGTGTGTTTTACAGAGCAGATGTAAAAGTCTTATCAGGAGTACATCTCAGTGAGGACCAGATCTGACTCATAATGTGGTCTCTTCTGCCCAAAGGGACAGTTTTCAAAAACCTCCCGGGTGTAGTTTTTTTGAGCCCGCGTTTCCGCCAGGTCCGGGAGCTCGTAACATTGAGCACAAAAAGGGTTTCTTAGCATGTAGTGGAACAACTAAAAGACTTTCATAGTAATGTCCAAGACCGTACATGATCTATAATGAAATGTCTGCAGTGGTACGTTGTAACTATTTGCTTATGTCATTTTTTTATAATATTGGTTTCGATTCGATCCAATAATTTCTTGATAAATGTGGGTGTGGGAAGTGTTTTAAAAGTTCTGGACATGGATTAAATTTTTAAATATTGGTTTTCTTACTAATATGATTGTGTCCTTTAACGGGATTAGACAACTTTTTATGTAATTTTTTTTTTTGTTGCCATTTTGACCTCACAGTTGGGCTGTAAGTGTGGGTCAGCAATGGCGGGGTCGCAAGGATGTCAAAAAATATTGCATGTTTGTTTCTTTTTTCCTACTAAGGAACCGCAGAGATAACATACAAAACTAGAAACTTGCAATGGCTGAAGCCATTGCGATTGACTGCGGAACAGATCTAATGTGGAAATCTGCTAAAAAAAATCCTTGAAATCCTTTAAAAGGCCTTGAAACTGTTAAAATACTTGATAGATATTTGAAACTCCTGAAGTCCTTGAAATTGTTGAAACCTTTAAACTCCTGAAATCCTTGAAACTGTTGAAACATTGAAACTCCTGAAATCCTTGAAACTTTTTTAAACCTGGAAACTGTTGAAAGTGTGGAAACTCCTGAAATCCTTGAACCTCCTGATATCCTTGAAACTGGTTAAATTCTTAAACAGTTGAAATCCTTGAAACTACTGAATGTATTGAAAGTGTCCTTGAAACTGAAAAATCCCCTCACCGCTGAAACAATTTGGTTCCTGTAACTAAGGAAACCTGGTCTGTGGTCATTATCTGGTGGTGGTCTGAGTCTTCGTTTGGGTCTTGGTCTGGTGGTATAATGCAACCTATTAGGTTGCATTATACTGGTTTACATGGAAAAATCCCTATTAGGTTGCATTATACTGGTTTACATGGAAAAATCCCTATTAAGTTGCATTATACTGGTTTACATGGAAAAATCCCTATTAAGTTGCATTATACTGGTTTACATGGAAAAATCCCTATTAAGTTGCATTATACTGGTTTACATGTACAAATCCCTATTAAGTTGCATTATACTGGTTTACATGTAAAAACCCCTATTAAGTTGCATTATACTGGTTTACATGTAAAAATCCCTATTAAGTTGCATTATACTGGTTTACATGTAAAAACCCCTATTAAGTTGCATTATACTGGTTTACATGTAAAAACCCCTATTAAGTTGCATTATACTGGTTTACATGTAAAAACCCTATTAAGTTGCATTATACTGGTTTACATGGAAAAAACCCTATTAAGTTGCATTATACTGGTTTACATGGAAAAATCCCTATTAAGTTGCATTATACTGGTTTACATGGAAAAAACCCTATTAAGTTGCATTATACTGGTTTACATGGAAAAATCCCTATTAAGTTGCATTATACTGGTTTACATGGAAAAATCCCTATTAAGTTGCATTATACTGGTTTACATGGAAAAATCCCTATTAAGTTGCATTATACTGGTTTACATGTAAAAATCCCTATTAAGTTGCATAATACTGGTTTACATGGAAAAATCCCCATTAAGTTGCATTATACTGGTTTACATGGAAAAAACCCTATTAAGTTCCATTTTACACTGGTTTACATGTAACAAGAAACGCCCTATTAAGTTCCATTTTTGTTTACTGGTTTTACAAGTACATACCCTATTAAGTTGCATTGTAGTAAGGTTTACATGAAAAAAAACCCTATTAAGTTGCATTCTACTGTTTTACATGGAAAAATCCCTATTAAGTTGCATTATACTGGTTTACATGGAAAAATCCCCCATAAGTTGCATTATACTGGTTTACATGAAAAAAAACCCTATTAAGTTGCATTATACTGGTTTACATGGAAAAATCCCTATTAAGTTGCATTATACTGGTTTACATGGAAAAAATCCCTATTAAGTTGCATACATACTGGTTTACATGGAAAAATCCCCTATTAAATTGCATTATACTGGTTTACATGTAAAAAACCCTATTAAGTTGCATTATACTGGTTTACATGGAAAAATCCCTATTAAGTTGCATTGTACTGGTTTTTACATGGAAAAAGACCCTATTAATTGCATTATACTGGTTTACATGGAAAAAACCCTATTAAGTTGCATTATACTGGTTTATCATGGTAAAAACCCTATTAAGTTGCCTTATACTGGTTTACATGGAAAAATCCCATTAAGTTGCATTATACTGGTTTACATGAAAAAAAAAAACCCTATTAAGTTGCATTATACTGGTTTACATGAAAAAACCCTATTAAGTTGCATTATACTGGTTTACATGGAAAAATCCCTATTAAGTTGCATTATACTGGTTTACATGGAAAAATCCCTATTAGGTTGCATTATACTGGTTTACATGTACAAATCCCTATTAAGTTGCTTTATACTGGTTTACATGTAATGTAAAACCCCTATTCAGGTTACAATTATAGTGGTTTACATGTAAAAATCCTTATTAAGTTGCATTATACTGGTTTACATGTAAAAAACCCTATTAAGTTCCATTATACTGGTTTACATGTACAAAAACCCTATTAAGTTGCATTATACTGGTTTACATGAAAAAAAAAACCTATTAAGTTGCATTATACTGGGTTTACATGGAAAAATCTCTATTAAGTTGCATACATACTGGTTTACATGGAAAAAACCCTATTAAGTTGCATTATACTGGTTTACATGGAAAACACCCTATTAAGTTGCATTATACTGGTTTACATGTAAAAACCCCTATTAAGTTGCATTATACTGGTTTACATGGAAAAATCCCCATTAAGTTGCATTATACCTGGTTTACATGAAAAAACCCTATTAAGTTGCATTATACTGGTTTACATGGAAAAATCCCTATTAAGTTGCATTATACTGGTTTACATGGAAAAATCCCTATTAAGTTGCATTATACTGGTTTACATGGAAAAATCCCTATTAAGTTGCATTATACTGGTTTACATGTAAAAATCCCTATTAAGTTGCTTTATACTGGTTTACATGTAAAAACCCCTATTAGGTTACATTATAGTGGTTTACATGTAAAAATCCTTATTAAGTTGCATTATACTGGTTTACATGTAAAAACCCCTATTAAGTTCCATTATACTGGTTTACATGTAAAAACCCTATTAAGTTGCATTATACTGGTTTACATGAAAAAACCCTATTAAGTTGCATTATACTGGTTTACATGGAAAAATCCCTATTAAGTTGCATAATACTGGTTTACATGGAAAAATCCCTATTAAGTTGCATTGTACTGGTTTACATGGAAAAAACCCTATTAAGTTGCATTATACTGGTTTACATGGAAAAAACCCTATTAAGTTGCATTATACTGGTTTACATGTAAAAACCCCTATTAAGTTGCATTATACTGGTTTACATGGAAAAATCCCCATTAAGTTGCATTATACTGGTTTACATGAAAAAAAACCCTATTAAGTTGCATTATACTGGTTTACATGAAAAAACCCTATTAAGTTGCATTATACTGGTTTACATGGAAAAATCCCTATTAAGTTGCATTATACTGGTTTACATGGAAAAATCCCTATTAGGTTGCATGATTACACTGAAGTCCTTGAAACTGCTGAAGTCCTTGAAACTGCTGAAGTCCTTGAAACTGTTGAAGTCCTTGAAACTCTTGAAATCTTGAAACTGCTGAAATCCTTGAAACTGTTGAATCCTTGAAACTGTTGAATCATTGAAACTGTAGAAATGTCTGAAAGAGCTGAAGTCCTATTAAAATGCATGGGCCTATTAAAATGCATTGCAGAATTCTCAATGCAGATTTTTGTCCGATTGCGGAAAAACCGGAAATCGCTGAAGTCCCAAAAGTAATAGCAATAATCTCCCAAACATGTGGAACGTTTTGATGTATAACTTGTGGAAATTGTTGAAAATGTGAAAGCTGTGAAACGTGTCAAAAAAAATGACGGAATAAAGAAATACAAAACCAATGGTTGACTGCGGAAGGTTCCGCAGTCAATCAATAATTGATCCTGAGGTGCTGTAGACACAACCGTAATTAAAAGTAAAAGCGCCATGTTGACCTCTCTTACAGATAACGGCTCAAATACTCAAAAATGTATACTTTTGTCACGTAAAAAGTAGCATATTTTCCCTTTAAACAGCTGAGTTATGTGTGGAGTGCTTCATGTTGAGAAAATGAATGTATGTTTTTATATAATGTATATTTTGTAAAGACATGAACTGACTGCTTTTCAAAGACCAGGCTCAAACAAAGTTCCATACAGTGGGGGTGTGCCACTAGTATAGTCACAGCTGTCCTGGGGCAGACTGACGGAAGTGAGACTGTCACACAGACTGGCGCCACCGAATCCCCCAAACATCACCAGCCGTTCACTGACTGAGCAGAATCTACTGTACATGTTTTTTTTTTTTTCTGTGACCTGAGAACAACTGACTATGGAAGCCCGTTTCCGCCATGTAAAAAAAAAAAAAAAAGCATACAGAAAGTCAAAATTTTGAGTTTAAAACTCAAAATTTCGACTTTAAAAGTCAAAATTACGACTTTAAAAGTCAACATTTCAAATTTAAAAGTCAAAATTACGAGTTTTCAACTGCGCATGTGCAGGACCTCACACATGCACATGCGCATGTTGTCTGTTTTTGTTGTCTGGAACGGTCTCTGGACATCCTTCACCTGCAGATTATGTGAAGATATTGCCTACAGTGACCACTGCATCCTTGAAGTAGCCAGAAATAATGTTGTTTGATTGATTCTGTAAAACTTTCCTGTTTAAGCCCCAGACCGCGGTCGTAGGACGCAGGGGGGAGCTGTATTTTTATTTATTTATGTTATATTCAATTTACATATATACAACATTTAAATCAAACGACTTCTTATTTCGACATAGTAACAAATAATGTGAGCAATATGTTTTTATAATAAATCAAAGGAAAATGAGCCATCGAGACATTCCAATCCAATCTGCTATAGACCACCTCTGGTGAGAGGGGTCCACACGGAGCGAGTCTTTCCACGGCTGAAAGGATGTGCTTTCTACGTATTGTGTACGGGGTTTTATTCATGCATCTATAATGGGTTTAACTCCCTTTTCAAAGACCCTCACTGTTATCTGCAGAGTTATTTCTCCGGATTGTTGCAAAAAGAGTCGTGGGTTTTATTTTGTCACAATAAAATAATCAGACAAGGTACTTATTCCCTGTATGTCTCTGTGTTCTTGCTCATACGCCAACAACTTTACCCCCGCGTGCACGCAAACACGTCACATACTCTTCAATGCACTGATCGCAATTCCAAAAGGGTAATATTGTCAGTGCCCGTGACTGTGGTTCTCCTGCCTCTGTCTGCAGACCTCCCTCACTGTCCTGTAATCGCGAACGGTCTCTCTGTCAGTCACAATATCATTCACTGCATTTCTGGTGCATCCATCGATAGCCGTGATACTGACCAGATGTCACCAGTTGATGCTCAATGACTTTGAACAGCCGCATGTGTTTTATTATTAATCTTCCACAGTCCGTTTGGGATAAATTAAATAGAGGCTTCTGAAGCGGATTCTAATCATAAACGGAGAGACCGTTTGCATTTTAACGCGATTACTACCACAACATTATTGCTGCTACTTCATGGATGTGGTCACTGTCTGTAGGAAAAATCTTCACATAATCTGCAGATAGAGGATGACCCATGGTCATGGATCTATAACAGGGATGACCAGAGACCGTTCCAGACAACAACACATACGAGTTTTCAACTGCACATGCGCAGTTGAAAACTCGTAATTTTGACTTTTAAAGTCGTAATTTTGACTTTCTGTAGGCTTTTTTTTTTTTTTTACATGGCGGAAACGGGCTTCCATAACTGACAAACATATGGATTGAGGAGTATTTTCACAGCTCTAATGTTATGATTTTCTCTTGTTAAAATTATTGTTATATTGCATCTAATTTGTTCATTACGTCTTTTTTCTACAGTAGTGCATCAGTTTTATACAGCACTTTGTTGGACGCTCAATCACCTGGTGTTCCCAGAGGTCTCCCATCACAGTACTGTCCCTGCCCGGCTTAGCCTTTTAGAGGTCTGACAGGACCTTAGAAGTGTTTTTTATTATCTCTTTCTGACTGTTGCACTGAGCCAAAGCAATTTCCAAGTCTGTGACTTCCTGTTACTTACGTGGCAATAACAATGATTCTGATTCTGATTCTGATCTAGCTTTCACATGCAGGTTTGTGGGTAAAGTCGGTTACCCTTGTCTATACCCTACTTTAACTTCACATAACAGATAGTAAACTTTTCCGTAAACTATAGTCCCCGATCAACCTACAACAGCCGAGCCATTCCCCAAACAACATCAGAGGTTGAATCAACACATTCCAAGAACATGCTTAATTGCAGCTGGAGATAAAACAGCCAGAGCCTCATCCCCGCTCCTCCCGTCTAGCTCCATTAGCATGGCATCAGGGATCCTCCACGCAGCCGCGCTCTGGCCGCCGTCCCGGGTTATGGAGGACATCTCTCTTACCATCTGCTCCGTCCATGCAGAAGGCAGCCTGCACTGGGGGAGCCGGGAGTGGACTGGCCTAGAGGAGGGAGAGGGGGTGCGAGGGAGTGAGAAAGGGGGTCCCAGGCTGATGGAGGAGCAGAGAGGGAGGTGGCAGCCAGTCGCCCCCTTCGCCCCTTTGCCCCCGCACCTCTGGCTCAGGTGTCCCGGGAGCGCACAGGTCCTATGTTAGCGCTGTACGTCTGACACGGCCATCTGTGCTGGAGCGGAGAGGGCCGTGTGCTGGCAACACAACAAGGAGAGGTTATAGAGGTGCCACGGATGTGTTGGAATTTAGATTGTGCTTTTAATATATTAGAGGCTCTATTGTATGCTATAGGCTGTAATGTTCAACCATGACACATTAAAATACACTGAAAAAAATGTGTTGATAATTACTTGCATCAAATCTGATCTTAATCTGAGAACATTCTGATGGTCTTAAAACAAGATTTTCCAATGGGATAAAGCCATTTAGTTTTATTCTAAGAACTGTTGCTTTTTTTCCCATTCCAAGGAAGACATTACTTGTATTTTTTTAAACAAGATGAGTTTGCTTGTCCTTTTGGCAAATCTCGTTATAAGGTAGTAAAAATATGCTAAAATTAGGGGCAATTTTTGACTTCTTTTTTATGACTTTTTGCAGTGCATGACAAGTTAAAATAGAGTTTAAATATGTTTTAATCAGTTTAATTCATTTTTATATAGACCTAAATGACAACAACCAAACTTCCGGAAATAGAAAATATTCAAGTAAGTTAGAATGTATTCATTAATTCATTTTCATCCCTTTATTATCCATTTCTGGGTGAGTGGGGTGGCAATCAGAGCTGCCACCCAATTCACAAAGCACCAGTCCCTTGTTGATCCTTCTGCAGGTGTTGGGTCCACAGGAAGATGGCTGCTCCTTCAACGCAGATACAGCCTTGATCAGTGAGTAAGTAAGTACAGTAATCTTTATTTATATACCGCCTTATACCACCAGATTCAAAAAGCGGTTTACAATTGTGGGCATTTGTCTCTCACTCCACACAGAGATGGGAGTACAGGAGGCACATGCCAGAGCTATTGAACATAATTTTAGTGGTAGGGTAAACCGGGGTACTCGGAGGAAACCTACGCAGACACAGGGAGAACATGCAAACTCCACTCAGAAAGGCTCTGTTCCGACCGGGATTCAAAGCCAGAACCTTCTTGCTGAGAAGCGAGAGTTCTATCCACTCAGCCGCCGTGCCGCGCAGAATTCAGAATCAAATTTGAATCAAAATCAAAGACAGGACAACAATGACAATGTCCAAAAGGGGAGTCGGCAAGGAACGACTCACAAACCTAGTCAAAAGTGAGAAACCTCAGTAAGGTCGACAATGAGGGACGTTCCCACAGACAGACAGGCTTCAGATCCAGGACACTAAAACACAATTAAGACTATTATATATCTGCATTTGTATTCTGTATTCGTATTTGTAACACTGCAGCTAAAATTGGGCCGAAGAATAATTTTACCGACAGACAAACACGGATCAAGTTCAGCTGACAGGGCACTTACAGCTTTCATAAAGGTCAGGTTTTGTGGAGCAGTTTGTCTTCTTTGTCCTGCTCCATCTGTGCCGCTCTAGTTACGCTGAGGATAATGGGGGAAGTCTCTCTAAAATCTGTAAACCATTTTTACAACATATACATACAGTTTGCAATGACGTGACACCCCTCATACTACAAGCACAGCAATGGATGGAAGCGGTCCTGTTTCAGTCCAGGTTTAGACCTTGAATAAAAACTCTAAAAATCTAAATTTCCGTGCATCTTGGTCAACTTCTTTTTTTTTTTTTTTACCAGAAGTCCCACCTCGTGTTTTGGTGACATTTTCCTTCTGATCCTCTCTCGTCCTTGGCCCCGTGTTATGCGGGTCCTCGTCTGTCTTTCACATCTTCTTAGTGGCTTACACAGAGGATTTTTGCTTTTTTTCTTCCTCTATTGAAATCATAGATAACTTCATAAATAAACCATATTTTTGCATTTAATAAAAACATCTCCCTAAATACTAATACTTGTATAACATTGAGATATTTTATTCAAATCAGTATTAATGATATTTCTCGGTTAATATGGATTTTACTGAGAAGTTGCAGCAATATTGAGAGGGAGATTATAACTTCTCTGCTGTATGGATGGTGTGCTTTGATTGTACACGGTTTTTCTGTGGGGCAGAATGTACAGGCTTCTGCTGACGCTTACTGTATGGGAAAATGGATTTGAAACAAAGGCAAAATGTTCTTGCTGAAGTGAGAGATGCTACAGATAAGACAGCACAAAGAAACATTTTAGCGGAACAATACTTCAGCCATATAAGCTAAATGCATCGACTGCAACAACCTGCGCCTATGTCTGTGACTAAAATAATGTTAAATGATAATAAAATAATTATTATCAGTTTTTGTATGTTCTATTGTCCAGCCTAAAACCTGGAAGCAAACACCTTAAGCAATGTCACACAAAGCACAAGTAGTAGTAGTAGTTTATTTTCAAATTATATTCAAGCGTCAAAAGGTTTTAAACAAAATCGTAAAGAATGTCATTCACCTGAGAAATTGCCAAAACAATTGTTTTTTTATTGAGGCAAGAGGAGCACAGATACCTGCTTTTGTGAAATGTTTATGATATAAGCATGGAAGAATAAAAAAACAACTTCAGGTGTGTGTTGTAGGTCCTGATATCTCACTCAAACGACACATTGGATCCTGACTCACATCCGTCACAGAGTCACAGTGACTGGAGTTAAACCTCCACATGCTCCAAGTATTTAATACTAATGAATATTGTGTCCGTTTGGTCATGAGGCTAACGGCTAACAGCTAGTGCTCGCTGCCTCTGATGGCAAAGAGTAATGTCAGTGATTAGAGACCGCTGTAAGACAGTGGGACGACTGCGGCTGTAAAGTGCCACACTGTCGTTGTGTTCTTTTGCAAGACACTTCACCCACAAGTATGAATGGGTGTGTGTATGTGGTGGTTAGATGGGCCGACTCAGGTTGGCAGCCTCCGTAGTCTGTCCCAGGGCAGCTATGGCTACAGTAGTAGCTGACCGTACCACCATGGATGGTATGAATGAATTGCGGTTTTGGTTTGATGATAATAATACTTGACAGCGTTAATGCAATACATTTTATCTGTTTCACCCTGACCCCTCTGGCGCCATCTATCTGCTAGACAAAACGTAGACTCAATGACCGAATGTATAAACTGAAAGATCTTAGGTTTAAACGCAGAGGACTCCAGAGCTGACGACCTGTGCCCATGAAGGAACCAGTGTGTGCAGTGTCCAAATGTGAAAAGGGTCCATCAGCAACAAAGCAACATAGTGCACTGTAAAACTCAACATTATGATTGAGAGCTGGGGTCGCCATTGTGTGCCAAATGCAGCCTCCAGTGTCATTTTATGTGGCCCTAGCCCTTGCTAACACAAACTAACCACAGTGCTATCCAGCCAACTTCAGCTCCACCAATTTAGTAATGCTATAGCTCAGAACTTTTGCAATCCAGCCGTTAACATATACTGCCGTTTTGCATTGCTAAATTAGCTTTAGTGTCCATGTTGTTGTCCCCTCGACATGTCTGAACAGCTAAAGTGGACCTCTGACTAAAAAGTCTAAATGTATGAATGTTATTTGTTTGTATTCGTTTGAACGCAAGTGGACTTTATCCCACTGGATATTTTTGAGTTTTTCCTGATGAGGGTTCAAGCAGAGGTTTCTCTGGGACAATTCCTTTAAAACTGTTTCCATGTTCTGATTTGCTCCTTCAAGACTAGTGCTGTTGAGATTTTAAGCTGTACAAAAACACATTGTTTTACTGTGATGAGACGGCGCCTAGCTGAGGCTTTGGTGCATGTCTGCCACTTCTTTACTTCCTAAATGTTTCACAATATCAACCTCTCTATGAAGACAACTGTAACTGCACCAATTTGTACTATGTATTCCCTGAATATATAGATAATTATTGCTTCTATATCACAAACCATAGGAGTGGGCGATAACGAGCACTGATGTCTGGAATCTGGAACAAAATTCTTGGGTAACAACAACCTACCAAAGAGCCAATCACTAGCAGTGCTGTGATTGGCTTGGTTGTTAGGGGTCATTGTGTGGATTTACAGACATTATACCATATAAACCTTGCCCTTGGGCATTTCCCTCTTCCCTCTAGCAGGCTAGCACTGTCCGTTCCAATATACCCTCTAGCGACATGAACTGCCTCCATACATGTACATAATCACAGATTCTGGGAGCACACATGCTTAAATGACACTGAGGAGTGAAGTGAAGCCATCAGACAGACAGCTCGCCCTCCTTCTTCCTCTAAACTGCAGGGTGTCGGCGTCTAACCTTCCCCCTGCTGTGATTTGTGTGTCCTATCACGCAGCCAGCCACTTTTACGGCCGCTATATTGTCAGGCCTAAGTGGAATATAGCATGTGGAGCCGTTTCACTGTGTATTTTCAAGTGTGCGTGAGATTGGGTGCAAGCGTGAAAGAGAGACATTAATTTGCGGTATCATTTCCTGCTGGGACAGCCCCCCCCCCCCCTTCTCTCTCTTCTCGATATACCAGGGCTGTGTGCAGTAATAAACAGCTTGTATTGAGAAAGTGGATTCAAACAAGGGTTGTAATGCATATTTCCGTACAGGGGGGAGACAGAGGGATTGGAATACATCAATAAGGATGGCAGCGTTTAAGAGGCAGACAACCTTTACCAAAGAGCGTCTGGTGTAATGGGCTCGCGGCGCGCCTCATAAAATACAGGCGCATCCGAAAGCCGAGAGATACAGCTGCAGGAGGAATGGATCTGCACCAATGCTGATCTGTGAGTGCAAAGCGGTCAGACAAAAATGCAAGAAATCACACGTCTGACACATGGGAGAGAAGGTATCTGTGGGATATGGGCGGATTCCTCTGCACACAAAAAAACATATTCACTTTATAAAGCCATAGACGGTGCCGCGGCAAGAGCTTCTGGTGCACACTGGAGTAGTCTTGCACAGTTTTTCCAATGTGGTTTTACTGCATATGGAAAATAAATCCTTGTTTCTTGAGCTTTGGATCAATGAGAACATGTTAAAAGTGGGGTTCCTAACTTCCCAACCATATGAAATGTAATTATGTTCCTTATTTCAAGTTAAGTATCTCAAAATAGTTTTTTCCC